GACTAATTTTATCTTACAAATTAATGATAAAAATGAATTGGGAATGATCACTAAAATTCGTTTATATAATCTTCAACAATTGTTATTTTTAAACGATAATCCTATTTATTCATTACGAGAAAAAGATATTATTAGATATAAGAAAATTTTCACGACGCAATTAAAAAATCATTATATATTAGAATGTATCAAAATGTTAAAGACTCAGAATTTTAGCATTGCTATTAACGATACGGTAGATAAAATGGAAATAATTGGAGGAAATATTTTAATTAAAGATATTTTACCTGAAGAAATTTATTTCGATAATTTACGATCAATAAAAAAACTCAATATTATGTTTGCAGATCAAATTTTGACGTTAGATGGGAAAAATTTATTAACGTTAAAAGAAATTTTGGGAAAACGATTTAAAAAATTTTTTAGTCCAAATAGATCTTTAATTGAAAAGAGTTGGAAAATTATAGAAGATTGTATTTTAGATAACAATGAAGTAATAAAAAGACGAATTTCTATTGAAGCTAGGAATAAAATAGGCACTAGTTTTGCTCATAATTTAAAAGGAACAATTCTAACTAAAATGAATTCAGACTCAGAACCTATAAATAATGGTTTTATTTTTGGAAAAAAGAAGTTATATAACGATATAATTTTAGTTTATGGTAAAAATTACAATTTGGGATCTAATAATATAGTATTGGAACATTATATAATGGTTAATAATCCAGATGATTTATTTATGGGTTTAAAAAAATGTTTAGGATGTTTTTTGGATGAAACAAGCACCATCGGTCCCCTCGAAAGAATACATAAACAAAGTAATTGTTTAGTTAATTTGAGAATAGAAGATGTTTATTTTCTTGAAAATTATTTACATTCACATGCAATAATAATACATGAAACTGATTCATATATAGTACCAGATATTATTCAATCACATATTGAGTCAAATATATGGCATGAACATAATTTTATTATAGAACCATTGCTTTTTAAACAAGATGATATTAGATTAAATATTTTTGAGTCCAATATGCAAAAATCAACGCAAAATTGTATAGAAAAATATGTTAAAAAAGAAAAATTTAATAAGAACTTATCGATCGAAAAGTTAAACGTCATCAACTACAAATTAATCCAACAATTGGGAGAACAAATTTTCGTATATATAGATGGTTCTGTTATAAATAATGGAACAGAGAATATTGATGGTATAGCCGGTTTACATTTTTATGATAAAGATCATAAATTAATTGACGAATTTTACGTTAACATTGAACATTGGATTTCTCCAAGTAAAGCAGAAGTGACAAGTTTTATAATTGCATTGATTATTGTTCATAATATTAGTAATGTTGAGATAATTACAGATAATGAATTTATTTTTAATTATTTTAATGATATTATATGCAAAACTGAAATTTATAATACACGTAAATTACTAAAAACACATAATAACATTTATATTTGGGCATTAATTCGACAATTTATAGACTTAAATGAAATAATTATACCAAAAATTACTAAAATCAAAGCACATGACGATGATTTATATCACAATTTTTTAGATCAACAAATTAAAGGTCGTTATTCAGATAGAAATAGGGTATTTTTGGTTAATTTTAATTTTTTTCAACTCGATAAAATCGAATATATGCTTACATGGAATAATATTATTATCGAAAAACCGATTAGACGTTTCATACGATATTATAATGAAATTTTAAATTTAGAAAAATTTTTTAATCTTCGAAGAAATCGAAAATATACAATAGATAGTGTAGAATGGGCAATTACGTTCGAATTCTTAAAGGAAAATGAAAACTTTTTACAAACTAATTTCCACACAACTAAACTACTTCGTTATAAAATTAAGAATTTAATTGAAGAAATTCTGACTGTAGAACAAAGAAAATTGATTAATTTTGATATATATAAGGATTGGAAATGTCCTGTCTGTGAACGTAAAAAAGAAACTTTTGGATATGTTTGGCTTTGTTATTCAAATCGTAAAAGAATGAGAAATATTATATATTATTCGATTATATGTTTAATTGAAAAAATTAAAGAATACGATATTTATACCTTCTATGAAACTAAAATAATTGACTTGTTTATAAACGAATCCTTTGGCGAAGTTAAAGTTGACAATAATAAATTAACTTTCGTAGATATTATTAAAGGCTTATTTCCTAAATTATTAGCTGATTTCTTACGACAAGAAATTAAAATGACTAAAGTTCATATATTCGAAACTGGAGTCAAATTTTTAGATTTCGTTTTTGATTCTACACACAAGATTTGGGTTGATAGATGTGATTTACAAAAAGATAAAGAAAAAGTTTAGGCGTTACTAAAGAAGATAAAAAACAGTATAGTTATGATAAAAATATAGTTAAAAAAGATATTAATCATAAAGTCTATCAAAAGGTAGAAGGGCTTTTGAATAATATATATTTTAATATAGAACCTTTAGAGTTTTATAGTTCGTGTTAATCAGTATACTATTC